CGCTCAGAACGTCCTCCGACGTCATAGGAGTCTCCTCCGTCGTGGTCACCTCGGTGGCCATTTCCGTAGTGGTACCCTCGACAAAACGTCTCCGTCTCCTCGGACGTCTCGGTTGTCTGCTTGCTCGATCCCGTGCCCGCGCCACTCGTACAGCCAGATGACACAGCGTAGCCACCGCGTTCAGCCACACTGCGGGTCACGTCGCCACATACGTCTTCGCGTGCCAAGGCTCTCACGTCCTCGCTCGTCACTGTCTCCGTCGTTTTCCGTTTCCTCCGTCGTGGTCATCTCGGTGGCCATTTCCGTAGTGGTACCCTCGACAAAACGTCTCCGTCTCCTCGGACGTCTCGGTTGTCTGCTAGCTCGATCCCGTGCCCGCGCCACTCGTACAGCCAGATGGAACAGCGTAGCCACCGCGTTCAGCCACACTGCTGGTCACGTCGCCACTCACGTCTTCGCGTGCCAAGGCTCTCACGTCCTCGCTTGTCACTGTCTCCGTCGTTTCCGTTACCTCCGTCGTCGTATCCGTTGAGCCACCATCGCCGTGTATAGGCTTGGAACGGGGGACATGCACAGCAGCGCCGACCACACCGCCAGTGAGGTCGGCCGTAGCGACACCGATGGCAGCCATTGCCAGGCCACTCGCCAGCTTCTTATCGCCAGAAACGTCCTCCGACGTCATAGGAGTCTCCTCCGTCGTGGTCACCTCGGTGGCCATTTCCGTAGTGGTACCCTCGACAAAACGTCTCCGTCTCCTCGGACGTCTCGGTTGTCTGCTTGCTCGATCCCGTGCCCGCGCCACTCGTACAGCCAGATGACACAGCGTAGCCACCGCGTTCAGCCACACTGCGGGTCACGTCGCCACTCACGTCTTCGCGTGCCAAGGCTCTCACGTCCTCCCTCGTCACTGTCTCCGTCGTTTTCCGTTTCCTCCGTCGTGGTCATCTCGGTGGCCATTTCCCGTAGTGGTACCCCTCGACAAAACGTCTCCGTCTCCTCGGACGTCTCGGTTGTCTGCTTGCTCGATCCCGTGCCCGCGCCACTCGTACAGCCAGATGAAACAGCGTAACCCACCGCGTTCAGCCACACTGCGGGTCACGTCGCCACACACGTCTTCGCGTACCAAGGCTCTCACGTCCTCGCTCGTCACTGTCTCCGTAGTTTCCGTTTCCTCCGTCGTGGTCATCTCGGTGGCCAT